CTGGGGGATTGAACCGTGCTTGCTTTGCTTTGCTAAGCTTGTTCTAAGTAGGTGCTTTAGACCACTGAGCCATCTCACCAGCCCCCAATAAAATGTATTTTAGTACAATGTCTTACAAAGTCTCACTATACAGATCAGATTTGCAGTGATCCCTCTGTTTTCAGCCTCCCAAGCACTGGGTTTACAGGTGTGCGCCACCACACCCAGTCTCAATTGCTGTCTCAGCACAACCCAGAGATGGGGCCAGCAAGGCACTCCTGGGATCAAAATCTGGCCCCTGTGTCTGCCTCAGCAGGTGCTTTAGTCTACTGAGCTATCAAGCTTGCCCCAAAGGGTGGACTTCTTAGTCCTTGCCCTCTGGTGACCACGGGGAGGACAGAAAGGCTGGAAATTGAGTCAAACCCCAACATCCAATAATTAGAGTAATCATACCTTCCTAGGAGAGGGCGTGGAAGCACCACACTACCTCTCCCTTCTACCTTGCCCTGGGATCGCTTTCCTTTGACTTTTCCTGTTATAGTCTCTGTAACAAAGCAGTAAATAGCAAAGTGCCTTCCTGAGTTCTGTGAGTCATTTTAGCAAACTATCCAACCTGAGGAAGAGGTTGTAGGAACCCTCAAATTCATAGCCAGGTAGTCAGAAGTACAAGTGACAATGTGGGACCTGGGACTAGCACCTGAAGTAGTATTGAGCCTTTAACATGTGGGGTCTGACACTGACAGTAAGGAGAGTGCCAGAATTGAGTTAAATTTGAGGATGCCCAATTGATATCTGGAGGATTGTAGGACTGGCTGATGTGAAGACGAACCCTACCTTGTGAAAAGAGTGTGAATGAAAATAGCACGGGCCTCATGAATTAGAAGTTTGGAGAAGCAAAGCAGCTGGAGGGCTTGTCATTGTGAGGGGCCAGGGGCAGTTGCTGTAGCAAGGGGAGGACAAAACCAAGAGCCAGGAGCCCCAGTTCTGCCCTTTTCTGCCTCCACCAGGCTTGGAGCCCAAAACCTGTTTCTACAAGTCATCCCATTGCTTGTAAGTCTTACCACTCCTGTCCACACGCATGAAGACTGCTCTGCAGTCTGCACTAGTTGGTTCCCAAAGCCTGTGCCTCTGGACTGGGCTGCTCTGTATAAGGAGCTGCCGTCTTGAATGCCAGGAGGGGTAATGTGTCAGCAGGGACTGCCCTAAGACCACCAACCAACAGTTCCATGCAGGAAAACGCCCCATATTGGAAATCTGCTTTTTCTCAAGAGGCTGGAAGTAGATTTTTTTTTAAGTAAAAGTGCAAAATCTTATATCTCAGTAATGCTCAAATCCTTTTCACATGCCACAGTCTCTGTCATATCCATTTCTTTTTCATTTTATTCTCATGCCATCTCTTAAAAAAGACAAAGTAGGTAGGTTTTCTCTGTAGATCATCAGAAAAAAAACAAAAACCAAACTCAGTAGATATTAAATAATTTAAAAAATCTGTCCAAAGAGATAAAGATAGAGTCAGGTCTTTCCCCTCTCTCCCCTCTCTCCTTCTTCTCTCTCCCTCTCTGAGACACGGTCTCACTATGTAGCTCAAACTGGGCTTGAACTCACAGTAATCCTCATGCCCTGGCCTGCTGGGATTACAGGCATGCACCACCATGTCCAGCTGAGTCGGGACCATCTTGAACACAAAGCTTTGTTGTAGCCCTTAGCTTTCCAATCAAACATCCCCAGATCTGCCCCACGTCACTGGAGGGTCTCCCCAAGAGCCCTGGGCTTTCCCTGTGAGTTTCTGGAGGTGCCTCACTTACAACACGATGAGGGTCAGGATGAAAAAGAAGTGCACACTGCCGATGAGGTTCTGATAGATCCAGACAACCCACATGTAGCCGGACCTTTCACGTAGGGTGTCAATCCACAGGTAGATGGACTGAATGAAGGAAGGCAGACCTCGGAAGGGGCCACAGGTACCTGAAGGCTTCAACCTGGAAAAGCAAGGAATAGGAACATCTCTGGCATGGGACTCAGATGTAGGTATTCAAGAATGTGTGTGTGTACGCATGCGTACGTGTGTACGCACCTGTGGTGGGGGGGTGATACCAGGGATTGAACTCAGGGCATCTGTACTAAGCTTTTTATTTATTTACTTTTGAGACAAAGTCTCACTCTTTAGTTTTGTGGGTTTTTTTTTTTTTTTTTTGTATTTTAGGGAAGGGTCTACAGGGTGTTCAGGGTATCACTACTAGATCAGACTCGTAGTGATCCTCCTGTTTACAGCCTCCCAAGAGCTGGGATTACAGGCACACACCACCACGCCCAGTCTCAATTGCTGTCTCAGCAAGCCCCAGGGGCAGGGGCAGCATGGCAGGCCCGGGGATCAAACCCCTGGCCTTGCAGGTGCTTTAATCCACTGAGCTATTTGGCAGGCCCTCACTATTTAGTTCAGAGTGGACTTCAATTCATTATATATCTAGGCTGGCCTCAAACTTATAACAATCCTTTTACCTCAGCCTCCCAAATTCTGGGTAACAGGCATGCACTACTGCATATGCACTTTTTATTTGTTTGTTTGCTTGTTTGTTTGAGACAGGGTCTTGCTATGCAGTTCAGGATGGCCTTGAATTCACTGTACAGCCCAGGCTGGCCTTGAACACACAGTGCTCCTCTTGCCTCAGCCTCCCGTGTGCTGGGATTACAGCAGGCCTGTGTCACCATGCCTGGCCTTAATGTTTATTTTGAGATAGGGTCTCACTAAATTACTAAATTACCAAGGCTAGGCTTGATCTTGCTATCCTTTCATTTCAGCCTCCTAGAATGCTGAGATCATACACATGCGCTACCACATCCGGCAATGGAAACAGCAATTCTTGCCTATTCTACTAACTTTCCCTTTCTAAAAAACTCCTCTTGGAGAATTTCTGCCACTTTGTGGGGACCCCCAGATCCAGTCCTAGCCCAGGCCCCGGTGAGTGTATGGGAGAGCTTCTGACTACCCTGCACCGGCGGACCTGCCAGTCCAAGCCCAGGCACAGCGTGGGTGAGACCCTCTTCCACCCCTTGGGAGCCCCCCACCACTCCACAGCACCCCACATACACACCCTGCCCACCCAGTGAGAATTTCTGCTGTGTTCTGGGGACCCCAGATCCAGCCCTAGCCCAGGCCTGGTGAGTGTGTGGGAGAGCTTTCTCTCCCCGGTACTCCACCTTGTCCCCTCCAGACTCAGCTCAGGCCTGGCATACAGGCCTGGGGTGCAACCCTGAAGCTGCAGTCCCTGCAGAGAGAGTAGGGGACAGAACCACCCAACTAGTCCAGGAGCAGAACATCTTGCCAGAGGGGCACAACAGGGTCACTCCCAAGGGCGGCAGCAGGAAGGAGCTGAGCACAGCAGCCAGACCCAAGTCAGGCACAGCTGGATAAATCCAAACTTTGTAGATCTGCACCTGAAGTTCAGTAGATGCTAAGGTTATAACTGCACCAAAGCTCTACAACAAAGGTCAGAAAACAATGCTGGGCTGGTGAGATGACTCAGTACAATAAGTGCTTGCCTGGCAAGCGCAAGGGCCTGAGTTCAATCCCTGGTTCCGCAAAAAAAAAAAAAAAAAAAAAGACAGTGCTACACAAAATGACAACGAGAAGGAGTAAAATGCAATCTTAGACGCCAAGCCCACCCATTACAAGTGCAGAGGACACTAACACAGAACAAATTGGGAACCACACAGCTGAAATCAATGAATCAATGGCTTCTGAAATAAAGAAACAACTGCAGAAAGGTATAGAGGAATTCAGATTGGAAATGAAAACAGAAATCCCTGACTCAAAAAACTCCTCTTTTTCCCATCCCTGTGGTATGACCTTCACACTGAGCACTGGCTCCTGAGCCAGAGGTACCAACTAATCCAGCAGCAGCCAAGTAAAAGGCCAAATAGTGACCTTTACAGTATTTGATGGAGGAAGCGAATGGGACAGTCTCTTTCTTGAGAACACAGACTCAGAAACACCTATTAGTTGTAGATGCCTGCAGTTCCACGTCCCCCACCTCCAAAATCAACTCTCTTCTTCATTCATTTATTCATTCTACCAAGGTTTATTGCATTTCCCCCAGGCACTGTTCTAGATAAGCTCTGGGATTCCATATTAAGACAGACCTAATCCTTGCCCTCTTTTATATATATATATA